GAGAAGAAAAGCAGATACAGACCCACATATTGCTTTAAGTCAACAGTCAGTCACCTATTGTTTATTATTTGTGCTGAAAGCCAGCATATAGACTGCAGAATGATAAGGTTGCTAGAAATTGCAGAAGTCATTTATTCAGTCTTCTCCCCAGGCCGGCTTTGCTCAAATCTTTTCAGACAAAATCCAGCCATCTCTCTCTTTGTGCAAGGTGTCCTCAGTTAGGCTTTTAACCACTCTTTGCATTATTTAACAATAGGTTGGACTGCGTTTCTATCTCTATCAGTTGGAAAATTGAAATAATGTAGAAAATTTGAACTGTGTATCTATTATTAACTAACATTTCTGGGAAACTTAAGCAAAAATGGAATTTGGGGATTTGTGAAGAAATAGTTGTAATTATCTACTTAGCATTGACAGTGGTTATTTATTCATTTGGTTAGTGGTCAATCTGACTGACTACTCCAGAGCTTCATGGCTGCTGTAGTTCGTGGGCCAAGTGGACTGTGTTGAGGCCATAACAAGGCCTAAGGCCAAAATAAACAACTTAAGGGTTTATGCCCGTAATCCCAGTGTTTTGGGAGGCTGAAAGAGAGGATTGCTTGAGGCCAGGAGTTCGAAGCCAGCCTGGGCAACATAGTGAGATCTCATCTCTATAAAATAATAAAAGATTACCTGGGGATGGTGGCTGGCATGTGCCTATAGTCCCAGCTACCAGGAAGGCTGAGGTGGGAGGATCTCTTGAGCCCAGGTGTTCTAGGCTGCAGTGAGTTGTGATAGCACCACTGCTCTGTAGTCTGGGGGACAGAGCGAGACTCTTTCTTTCTCTCTTAAAAAGAAAAAAAAAAAGGAATTTTTTGGGGACTAAGCTGACCACATATTTATCTTGTTAGTAGATACTACTACTTCTAGTAAGATAATTTCCCCTTGTTTCTAACGTAAACCTTGAACTTCAACAGTTCCCTTGTCTTTATTCAAGTTGTATCAGTAACAGTGTCCAGCACCTTGCTAATTAGGCCTTTGTATAAATGAAGACATGTTAGCCGCATAATTTTTCTTAAGTGACTCTGATTTCTTTAGCCATCCTACTCCTATATTTTTCAGCCCTTTGGGCATTCCTTCCCTTCATCTCCCAAAATCTTGACAAAATTATGACCATTCAGAGAAAGACTTCTTTCCTGCAGTCCACTCATTTACCATTTAAGCAGAGGAGGGAGTAATTACTTTCTTTCCCTTTAAGAAACATAAAATATTTGGGAAAATACTGGTTAGTGGAATACCTGTTCTCAGCATGGTTTTCCAACACTTTGGACTTACAAATAAGTGATCTGTTACAGATATTAATGTTGGCAATATCAGTAGGTCTGAGACCCAGACCTGGGTGACTATATTGGAAACTTACAGTGATATATGTATATATGCTGATCTGAAAGGGATGAGAGCTGAAATCATTGGTCACTCCAAATTGTCTAAGGGCCTAGTCTCAGCCCTAAGCCTGCCAGGGAAGGGCAGGGGTTTCTAGGGGTTATTTGATCGGTGGCCTCTGACTCAGTGGGGGCAGCAGCAGCACTTGTGTCATGTAAGAGAAAGAGTTGATGCAAGCCTCTGTTAAAGGACCACTGGATAGCTATGATTTTTTCACCTCTGCCTCTTTCTGCTCAATGGATATAGAAACAAACAAACAAAAATTTTGATCAAACTAGCTCCCTTCATAAAAAGGTAAAATAGTAGTTGCTGTATAGTAACACAGTCACTTCTTGATAATATCTAAAGGTGGACAAAAGAAAACAGCAATAAAGACCCCCCTAGTATTTCACTACCATGAGATCATTGTGGCAACACACTGGGTCTTCAGGGAACGTGCCTCTGTGCAAGATATTTTCTCTGTACATTTAGGAGCCCATTCTGCAGTACAAGCACTAAGCTATTTTCTGTTTTAGTGGAATCTGTAACAGACAGTAAAAATCATTGGATATTTACAAAAACCTTACCTATGGAGAGAAAAGAATGACGTTTACAACAAATACATCAGAGATTTGTGAAAGAAAATCAATTCAGCCAGATGCAGTCTCTCATGCCTATAATCCCAACATGCTGGGAAGCTGAGGTGGGAGGATCACTTGAGCCCAGGAGTTCAAGACCAGCCTGGGCATAGCAAGACTCTGTCTCTATGAAAATAAAATAAAATAATAGCCAGGCGTGGTTGTGCATGGCTTAGTCCCAGGAATTCCACAGGCTGAGACAGGGGAATCACTTGAGCCTGAGAGGTTGAGGCTGCAGTGAGCCATGATCATGCCATTGTACCCCAGCCTGAGCAGCAGATTGGGACTCTCTCTCAAAAAGGAAGAAAGGAAAGAAAGAGAGAAAAAGAGAGAAAAGAAAGAAAGAGGAAAGGAAGGAAGGAAGGAAGGAAGGAAGGAAGGAAGGAAGGAAGGAAGGAAGGAAGGACGGAAGGAAGGGAATTCATAGATAAAGAGGGAACTCGGTAAATATGATTTCAACATCCAAAAGTCCTTTAAAAGGGTTTATTTAAAAATCTACCATGGATATTGCATTCCAGTGTGACTATCTTTACAGTCTCTGGTGACTAGAAAAGAAAGTCGATTCATCAACAAAGAAATGCCTTGTGTAAGGATATATGTGCCCTTAAATGGATGAGGGACTTTACACCATGGAAGATCAGTACTCTAACTAGTTTCATGTAATAAGTAAATGTCTTGGAGTAGTCAGTAGGGTGATGTGGACATTTAAAGATGGCATTAAACTCTTTAGAGTAGTGAAAACACCATATTAATGAGGAGTACAGGAGCTTTAACTTGGTCTAATCAGTGGAGAAAAATTGTAGATAAATTTCTCTGTGGGTAAGCACAAAGTACTGCAATCATAGATATATATACTTACAGACATTGAGCTATAGTTTATAGCCCAGGGAATGGTTTTAGAAAGTTTTGAAAGGTATTGTGAAGATGTGAGGCTTACAGTTCTTTTGGCAAAAGGTAATGAATAAGTAAGCGAAGACTTTAAAGATATTGACCAGTTGAGGCACTATTTATAAAGCTAAAAAAAATACTGAATATCAACAAAGCCCCAAGCATATCTTTTAACATTCATTACGTTTCCAGGGGCTCAATATTAACACAGAATGGGATCTTATATTAATATATCATAAAGAAAGATAAGTAATCAGACCAAGTCTGTCATTGAAAGCATCTACAATTTCCTGAAAGCATATTTTAAGATATTTCTAAAAGCACTGAAAAGCAAGCAAGATTTTATTAATAAACTGACACAGAAACCCAAAGAGCCAAACAGAACACCAAGACCACTTTTGCCCTATGGACCTCAAGGTAAGAATTTATTATAGATCAAAGTAACCAGCTAACTTGATGCTAGACCAGATTGCCTAGGTGTAACTATTAACTCACCACTTGGCTTTGGACTAGTGATTTAACCTCTCTATACCCTAAGTTTTTCAATTACAGAGTGGGTTAATGATAGTGCCTCTTAGGGCTGACATAAAGATTAAATAAATTAAAGCAAATAGAGCACTAACTAATAAATAGTGAGCTATACATATGTGTAAACAAATTTTAAAGTATTTAAGAAAAAATAAAAAATGGGAAAGAGGGAAATGTGATTGGGGAAGGCAAACAGGGGCTTTCTGGATGCCTGTAATGTTCTTGACCACGCTGGAGATTATGCAGAAGTTCACTTTAATCTTATTGTTGAATGATATAGCTCTATGTTATCCACTTTTCTGTATGTTATTCACTTTTCTGTATGTGGTTGTATCTTATTTTTCAAATGGAGTAAAACCTGTGGAAGTGGTTCTCAAAAATGTTGTCCTCAGGTCCTCTTTAAAGTCTTCAAAACTGTTGCTCACTACAAACAACTTTTGTTTACAAGTTATACTTATCAATGTTATGATTAAAAAAAAAACTAAGAAGTTTTAAATATGTAGTTATTAATGAATTTTAAAATCCCAACAAAAATTACATGGTAACATAAATTACATATTTTGAAAAAATTGCTCTATTTTTGGAAACCAGACAATGAGAAAGTGGCATTTAAAAATATTTTTGCAAATTGCTTTAATATCTGACTGAATAAACACCAGCTAAATTCTCATATCTTCTTCTGCTCTCGATTTGTTGACAATTATCATTTCGGTTAAAGTATATGAAGAAAATCCAGCCTTATACAGATATTCCTTCGGAAAGAAGAGGAATATTTAAATTGGCTTTTTAGATACTTGTGAATATTCTTTTTTGATTTGTGGATATTTTTCTATATAGTTGTGAATATCAAAAGTAGACAAGTGCTAATTTCTTAAAGATTGGTTGCAATGTAGAATCAAATCATATCAATAAAGTTTTACATATCTATTCCCCTTTTATTCATTCATAAACTCCTACTGGTTCCCCAAGTTAGGCAGATCTGCCAAATGTTAACACATTTTGCTAAGCAATATCATAAGTGGCATCATTAACATCACCACCAATCTCATCGGAAAGTTTTAAATACTAGGAAACTGTCATATTAAGAATGGCAGATTACATTTTCCGAAGTTTCAGTTTTTTCCTGAAAGCTTTAATTTTCTCATTAGCAACAAAGAGTGATAATTGTTTTCCTGAACTAACAGTCTGATGTCATTAATTTTCAAGAAAATGTCTGCCCTTTACCCAAGCATGAATAACTGTACCTCATCTGGTAGTAGTTCTTTCAAGAAAAAAAAAAAGCTCTGATATTCTTGGGAAAAGTGGCTAAGTCCACTTGCAACTGAAACAATCTCACATTGCTTTAAACAGCCATCATACTTTGGTATGCAACAGAAATGGCCTATGTACATTTCCTATTTTTCATAAGGAAAACCTAAAAAGATATATATTCAAGTATCAGAATTTTAAATGGTAACATGATTACTGTTTCCACAAGGACATTCTTAGTGAAACTGACTTACTCTTTTTTTCTTTTTATTGCACATGTGTGGTTTGGGAAATAAGAAAGACAACTTTGGACTTTCATCCACTGGTCTTTAGTTCCAATAAGACAGAAGACACATGCTTGAAATGTCCAAAACATTCAAGAACAAAAGTCTTATGTTCATCTTTCTGAGGAATATGCAAACACCAGATCACTAAATTTCACCGTGACGTTATGCAACCTACTAACCATCCTGTGCATCTTTTTAATCAAACACAATTGTAAACGTTCACCTTTAAAGGTATGTTTTGTGCCAATTTCAAAGAAAGAAAACATTTGTCCAATTCAAACTTAGAGATAATACCGTATCTCCAACAATATTTTAAGCATTAATTCAAGCAATTCTGTCTACATGTCTGAACCATCTTGGATAAAAAATACCATTAATTTATTTACTCCAGTTTTCTGGATACTTCATTAGATAACCAAAAACATGCTATGAAAAGGCAAAAGTCCAAATAACAAAAATCTAGTATGGGGGGGTCTTGAAAAAAATCCGTGAAAAATGCATTTTGTAAAAAAAAATGCATGGATTTCAAATGTTTCGCACAAAAATAAACCTGTAGTAACTTGTTATACTCTGAAAAGAATTTAATTGGAAGCGCTAAGAAAGAACAGACATCAGTTTCAAAAGAACCTCTATCAGAACAACACGAATTCTGCTAAAATTGAAGCAAGAACAAAAATTAAATTTATAGTGAAATTTGGGCAGAAGAATGGTAAAATAACTGATGATTTACAAACAGTTATGAGAACAATGCCCCAAAGAAACCAGCCGTTTACAAATGGGTAACTTCTTTTAAGAAGGGACAAGATGACATTGAAGATGAAGCCTGCAGTGGCAGACCATCCACATTAAGTTTCAAGGAAAAAATAACCTTTTCCATACCTTAATTAAATAGGACCAATGATAAATCACAGAAACCATAGCCAACACCATAGACATCTCAATTTTTTCAGGTTTCACAATTCTGACTTAAAAATTAAAGTTGAGCAAGCTTTCCATTTGATGAGTGCCAAGACTGTTGCAACCAGATCAGCTCCAGACAAGAGCAGAGATTTCAATGGAAATTCTAAACAAGTAGAATCAAGATCCTAAAACATATCTTCAAAGAATTGTAACAGGAGATGAAACATGGCTTTTCCAGTATGAGCCTGAAGACAAAGCACAATCAAAGCAGTGGCTACCAAAAGGTAAAAGTGGTCTGGTCATAGCAGAAGTGGATGGTCAAGAGCAAAGGTCATGGTAACATTTTTGAGGAATGATAAAGGCATTTTGCTTGTTGACTTTCTGGAGGGCCAAAGAATGATAACATCTGCTTATTATGACAGTGCTTTGAGAAAGTTAGCCAAAGCTTTAGCAGAAACAGACCCAGAAAATCTTCACTGGAGTGTCCTTCTCTACTCATTCCTCTCATCAAACAAGGGACATCTTGCAAGAGTTTTTGTAGGAAATCATCAGGCATCCACCTTACAGTCCTTGCTGATTTGGTTCCTTATGTCTTTTGTTTCCTAAACTTACAAAATATTTAAAGGGCATTAATTTTTTTTCAGTTAATAATGTAAAAAGCCTGTATTGACACAAGTAAATTCCCAGGACCCTCAGTTCTGTAGAGGATGGACTAAATGTCTGGTATCATTGTTTACAAAAGTGTTTTGAATTTGATGGAGCTTATAGAGTTTATAAGCTTGTGCTTTTTATGAGAAATAAAGTTTATTGTTTTCAAATTTTATTTCCTTTTCTGTGAAATTTTTGAAGTCTCCTCACACACTTCTTAATTCAGATATTTAAGTTCAACAAATTTAATCTACAAAGAGTTTGAAACCTCTCTCTCTCTCTCTCTCTCTCTCTCTCTCTCTCTCTCTCTCTCTCTCTCTCTCAGACAGGTCTTTGTGCAAACAAAAGCAAAAGCTTTACCCTCAGGATGATTAGATAACATGTGAATGAATATGAGGCCAAACATAAAACCTGGAGCATCTATGCCAAGTTGGCAGTGATGGGGATGTGAGAAACTGCAGTTGCTGATGTCAGGGTAGGTGGAAGAGGAGCAGAGATAAGAGCATTATTATGAGAGCATTACTTGATGAGAGCATTGTTATCCTACTCTATTCAAGTGGTATAGAATGCACTTTATATAAGTTCACTGTAGGAAGAAAATTCTAGAAAAATTATTTTTAACCAGTTGCTACAGTTAAATGCAGTGTAAAATCAGAAATAAAGTATCTTAAGTAAGAGCATAAGCTTTAATGTCTGTATCAGTTTTCTATTGCTTTATAACAAATTACACTTAGAGGCTAAAAACAACACCCACCCATGTATTAGCTCACAGTTCTGTAAGTCACAAGTCCCAGCACAATGTAACCAGATTATCTGCTCAGGGTTTTACAAGTCTGAGATCAAGTTGTCAGCCAGGCTGCATTTCTTTCTGGAAACTCTGAGGAAGAATCTGCTTCCACACTCATGCGGGTTACTGGCCAAATTCAGTTCCCTGCAGTTGTAACATGGAGGTCTCTATTTCCCTTCAGGATGTCAATCAGAGTCACTCAGCTCTTAGAGGCCACCCACATTCCTTGCCATGTGACCAGTAGTGGGGCAAACTGTCTGTGCAGAGAGGGCTGCTTGAAATTTCATCTCTGGAACAGGGTTCATGTTCATGTTTCATCTCATGTAATCACATTTATATATGATTAAAGAGTGGTCTTGTTCTTGTTTTGATGCACCCACCACCAGGCTGGGTAATTTTTTTTCCTGCAGATACGGAGTCTCCTGTATTCCCCAGGCTGATCTGGAACTTCTGGGCTCAAGCAATCTTCCTGCCTCGGCCTCCCAAAGTGCTAGGATTACAGATATGAGCCACTGCGCCTGGCCAGGCACTATATTTTAAACACAAAGGATCTAGGTAATGACAAGGACAGTGCAAATTCCTATAATGAATGCAAAAGTGTCTCGATATGACAATGTCTGGCACAGAGTTATTGGAGGCTGTTCTGTCCAGCGTGTTACAATTTACATCATGCTCACAAAGTGGCCTCATTTGATGTTGATGTCCCATAAAATCATTCATGTTCAATGACCGCACAAAGGCCTAGCTGATAGCACCAGGCTGGCTCCTAGATGCCTGCAGCATAAGGGGCCATTGGACCACCAGATGGGTGATAAGTGCTGAATTTGGAGGAGTTTCACTCTGTTCCACATAGGACAAGTTTGGGGCTCGAGGATATTGATGATCTGCTGCAGATCCTTAGGCATGAGTCCCATTTGGGGCTCTTGCATGAGTTCTCACCCTATGTGGCCATCTCCCATTCTACAGGACCATAGGGTAGAATGTAACCTGTGCAATAGCCTGTGTGTCCTCATCACTGGTGCCCAGCATGGTCCCTCACCTCCTCTATAGGCTCCAAGTTACTTATCAAGCAGTCCTCCATTGGAGGTAGCTGTACTTCTCTCATGGCTCTCAAGTCCTTCATTCTGTGACATAAATGCACCCTTCAAATAGATGTCCTCCTTGCTTTCTGTCAATGTGTTGATATCATTGCTTACCATAAGCCATGCTAACAGGCATTGCTTAAGTGGGTGGATCACTCTACCATGATATCTCCCCTAGTCTCCCCTGATGGAGATTTGTGGAAGCCGGGAACATGGTCATTATTGAAAGAGATCACGTAATTACAACCTGAAGAATTCTAGAGAGGTCATGGTTGGAAGATGTGTTATCCTTTGTTTATGCTATAAAATTCCTAATGGTAAATTTAACATGAGAAGAAAACAAAATACTATTCACATTTTTCCACACACTCTGGGGGCAACCTTTGCAGTCATCATTAACCAAGCAAAGTAACAGCCTTCGAATGAGTCACTAAAAGCCCATACTCATGGGCTGCTTGTGGATAACCCAGCATCCTGAGCAATGATGTCACCAGCATGGAATCTGTGATGCTAGGGAACTGTAGAAGCCAGAAGATCTGTTGTTTCTGTTAAACATTCTGAAGAGCCATGGCATTTTGATTTGCAAATTTTTTCTCACTATGAGATACATGAAATTAGCCAAGGGCAGCATATTTGACAATTAAGAACATGAACAGACGATTCTAAACCTGAACAGGAAGTGATGGTGCCCAGTCACCCCAAAGATCTTTCGTATGCCCTGTTGAGAATTTACACAAATGTGTAACCACTTCTCTACCCATTATTCTATGATCCTCATTGATTTCTTGCTTGAATTGTGTAACACATTCTTAAATCAAGATTTTTATATTGACAGTGGTCGATATAATATATATAAAAAGAATTTTCCAGGCCAGGTGCAGTGGCTCATGCCTGTAATACCAGCACTTTGTGAGGCCGAGGTGAGCAGATCACCTGAAGTCAGGAGTTCAAGACCAGCCTGGCCAACCTGGCAAAACTCCCTCTCTACAAAAATTAGCCAAGCATGATGGCAGGTGCCTGTAATCCCTGCTATTTGGGAGGCTGAGGCAGGAGAATCACTTGAACCTGGAAGGCAGAGGTTGCAGTGAGCCAAGATTGTACCATTGCACTCCAGCCTGGTGACAGAGACTTCATCTCAAAAAAAAAAATTGTTTTTGGCACACACCTTAGGAGATGCCTTGCAGGGAAAGCTTCCTGAAGAAGTAAAGATACAAAAGTATGATTAGGAGTTAAGTAGACAAAGAGGGGAGTGAAGCTTGATCCAGTTAGAGAACTTGTGCAAGGGTCCTTCGGTGGGAAGGAGCAAGTGAGTGTGAGGAACTAAAACAATGCATTCTAAAGGAATGTATTGTTTTATATACAAATATGTAACCACTTCTCTACCCATTATTCTGATAATAGTCTAGTTCCCCACTCACCAAGGGACTAGTAAAAAGCCTCAGTCAGTATAACATCGTATGTGTGTTCCACGCAGTTCTCATTCTCCTGTGCCTGCCCTATGCCTGCTCCCCATCTTTGCTTCTTGCTTGGGGCCTTGACTGCTCACAGGAGATGGTTTCTGGTCTTTGCTCCTTGGCTTAAAGGAAAAAAGCTACACTTCTCATTCCTTAATTAAAATCCTTCGCAGCTACAGCTTCTTCACAAAATTGGAATTCTTCTTTCTGTCGTGGCTATGGGAGGACATTTTTTAATGCCTGTGGTGGAAAGAGTGACTCCTTCCTTAGTGAGAGAGGTTGAACAAAACCCCTTGTTGTGTAGGATACATGCAGTGACATTCTTCTGTATCAGAGCTAGCACTTCCCCTAGGAACTGATGCTTGGAACATAACTACTCACCTTACCCTCAATAATGCAGGGGCGGCATCAGTTTTAATAATTTCAGGGGCTGAAAGGAAGAACAAAACTAATATAAAGTATAGGGGGAAGCAGCATTAAGTATGTGCAGAGTCTGGCATCTTTTCTTTGAGGCTTCATTAGGGTTTTGTCTCAGTGGATCTGAATTGCTTTTTTTCTGTGATTTTTTCCCCAGGCTTTACTCTCATTAGCTGTTTTTTCCCCAAGTAAA